TTTATATTATATAAATGGTGCTGAAAGATGACTGCTCAGTTGATTTCATGAAATTCGCGAAAATAGTTTTACTACAAATTCAAAAAATGTAAAAATTTCGTTGGAAAGTAATTTTTTAACTTTTTTGTTCAAATATTCAATACAGTAACAATATGCAATATTTATGTTAAATACATTAAAATGATTATAGTTTTGGAAATTCTTTTATTGGTGTGCTATTCATTTATCAGATTCACGGCAAGGATAAAAAGTTATTTAGGTCAAGCCTTCCTCTACCCCCTGTGGGGCAAATTGTCCTATTTTAAAGGGGGCAAGTTGTCATATAAAAAATTTGCCTCCATACTTTCATATAGTTATAAAAGTCAAAAATGAATGTTATTAATACATACAATGCTTATTATAAGTAATAAACATCAATAAAATGATTTAGGCATAATATTTAAGATTAATAATAAGCCTTAGTAAACATTAATAAATGATAGTGATAGTTATAGACATTAGACAGTTATAAAGTTTTGCTTACTTGGACTTTTATCCTAACATTTTTTTTTTTTTTTTTGCTTTATCAGATTTTAAATCATGGTTTGCAATTATCAAAGGAAAACCAGTAGAGGTACTACTGCTAAATTTACAATCCTTGAAGGAGTGAAAGCTGTAAAGTTACATGGCAGAAGCATAGCCCAGGTGTCTCTAGATTTCAAAATCAAATATAGAAGCCTACAACGCTATATGTCAAAAGCCTCTACAGAAGATCTTCAAGAAAAATCGACAATACCTTCATTTCACACTAGCTAAGTACAACCTAGGTTTGTAGATTGTTAATATGTTTAAGGATTATAATGTTTGTTATTATAAGTGACTCCATAAAATAAGTACTTATACTGGTATATATTTTATATTATTTCAGGCAAGTGTTGACACAGGAGCTTCATCTTGAACTCTGTAGCTACTTGCAAAGAGCTTCAGATATTTACTTTGGCCTTAGACCAAAAAATCTTAGGAAACTAGCATATCAATTAGCAGATGCTAATAAATTGGATATGCCAAAATCATGGATGGAAAATCATTGTGCTGGAAGAGATTGGTTTACGTCTTTCCTACAAAAAAATCCAACATTGTCTTTAAGAGCTCCAGAGGCCACAAGCATTGCACGTGCCATAAGTTTCAACAAATACAATGTTGAAATGTTTTTCAATAATCTTCAGGTGTGTCTTCAACGTCACCAATTCACACCAGCAGGTATTTGGAAAGTGGACGAAACAGGGGTAACTGCAGTTCAAAAGCCTGATAAAGTGATCTTAAGAAAGGGCCAAAAGCAAGAGGTTTAGAATACTTTTACAAAAAAAAAAAAAAATTTAATTTTACAATCAAACTTTTGTTTTCTTTAAAACAAATTAATGGAGAAAGGGTGCTAATAAACTGCCATTAGTCTAGAAAAAAAAAATAATAAAAACTTTATAGAAATTTAATGAAAAAAAAAACTGTGTTCGCATTTTTTTTTTTTTTTAAGTTTACAATTTTGCAATAAGAAGTTATAATGTATAGAACATTAATTGTTAACTCAAAACAAAGATCTGACAGATTTTTATTTTCTACCACGTACTATAAGTTATTAAAACAAAACCACTATAGTTGTTTAAATAAAATTAAAACAACTATAATATAGTCTTTTTATTTCAGTAATTTTAATATCTAAACTTAGTCTTTATTATAAAGAATAAGTATTATGCGTGTCACTTCATTATTTTATTTATTTTTAAATCTAATTCCAAATGTTTTTTTAAACATTTAAATTGATTGGAATTAACCAACACCCTTCAACCTAGTATTTTAAATACTAATTAGAATACAGGTTCACGCAACGATCAACAAAGCATTTATTATTATTATTTTAGATTATTTCTTTTTTCTTTTTTATTATACTTAGCTCATTCCATAGTAAAACTATATGGAATAACCTAAATTTAATTAAAAAGAACTCTTGCTCATATAGATAAATACGTTTGATTTTTCCTAATTTAATGGTGATTACTAATAGTAAAAGTACTATTACTATAATGCTATATATATATATATATATATATATATATATATATATATATATATATATATATACATACATATATATATATATATATATATATATATATATATATATATATATATATATATATATATATATATATATATATATATATATATATATATATATATATATATATATATATATATATATATATATATATATATATACGGCCGGGTTAAGTACTTCGTGGCCTCCCAGCACTTTATGCTTGCTGCCCTATGTTGGCCTTCCACCACTCAAATTTAAGAGCGGTTTAAAATTAAAAAAATCTTTGTAATTGTTGCGCTTTGGCTACATAATGTATTTTCTTTTGTATTTAAACAAGCTACTCGCGTTATTTATTATTAAAAACACGTTGCAATTAGTATAGGTTTTGAAATACCTTTCGCCTACATTTTACGCTTGCAAATGCTGATTTTAGGTCAATGGAATCCAATACTCGGTTATCTATTTGAGCGAAAGAAAAATTTAAATAAAGTTATTCCTAAAAGAAGATATTCATTCAATGAGTGAAAGTAAGGATCAGTAGGATATCAGTCAATAAGTTGTTGCGCATTGCAAGTAGTCACCAAAATATTCATGTTGTGGAGATTCACAAAAAAACAAAACAGAGAGTTAAATTTAGAATAAATTTTCTTTTTTTCATCTCACTCCTTAGCTTGTCCGTGATCTTATTAACATCTGCAATCATTTAAAATCGCCCAGAAAACACTATACTTTCCCCACTGTTAATTTCATTATTGTAACGCTTCTTGTATTTTCTTGGGAGCCTATAAAGATAGACGTTGTCATCCGTGTTGACCAAAGGTACGACTAGCTTTCTTAATTGCTCAAAACGAGAGCAAACTTGTTGCACGTAATGCTCCAGGGATTTGTAAAGTTCTTTAACCATACCTAAATCAAGCTTTACGAAAGACAGTTTCTTGTTAACTTTGTTAACCATTCCATGATTCTGTTCCAAATGATTATTAAAATAGCTGATTTAAGTTGTAAGTTGCATTTTGGTCAAAAGCCCAAAGACCTCTGCTCTTGATTTTGATTTCTGATTATTGTTAATATCAAAAAGAACCGCCTATATAAAAAATATTTGTTAATAAGTGTACAAATTAAAGATGTTTTTGATAGATTTTCTAAATGATTTTTAATCACCTTGTAAAAAGAATAACCTATTTTAATAAGCATTAGCATGATCTTACCAACGAGTTTGTGAGAGAGTCAAGGGAACTTAACACGTATTCGAGCAAGGATCTTTGACTTTAGGTTGCGTTGATGAGTTAATATAAAGAACTTTGACTTTAAGACTTCGATACGTTGATGCAGAAAAAAAGTTATAAATTTTTTGAAGAAAGCTAAAGAAATTAACAGCAGCTTCGTTGGATTTTGCTGCATTCACTCCTACAAGGTTCAAATAGTCAGCAGCACACGAAATCTATTCGACGAGAGCGTTGATCTCTTTAATTCTTTCTTGTAAACCAAAGTAGATACCACACATATTACTGGGATTGCTGTATGACTGGCCACATCCATTTTAAATGTTGATCGCATACTAATCTAACTTTTTTGAATCGTTTTCAAGCTATTAATCTAACTTTTTCAAATCTAACTTTTTTATACCAATATAACTTTTTCAAAACGTTTTTAAAACATTTTGGAAGTTGCAAAAAGATTATGCATGGGATTAAACGCTAAGAGTTGATCAACTTATTTTCCATTTTATACATTGGGAGTAAAATCAACAATGAACGTTACTTATGGATGATCGAATTACCTAAAAATTCCATAACCTCGGTAGCTTTTAAGTGAATGAGTTCTTTTCAAATCTTTTTAGATAAGTATGAGATACAATCTTCTCTTCGTTTCCATGAGTTATTAAATATTGGGCGAGGAAATGATCAAACATTACTAATAGCTCAAAACATCCTATTAAGTTTCCGTTGCGTATCAATCCTAGTTTTTCGTCTGATCCGTGGAATAATAATCGTATAAGAATGAGCAATGAATAAAGTATCCAATTATTTTATGTTTATTTTTTCACCATGATATTTGAACTCAAAAGTTCGTTTCAGTTGAAAAATAATAAAACGTCTAGTTTGCAATACGTCGTATGCGCTGTTATGCTAAGATTAAAAAAATCTCGGACATGAGAGGAAGTCAAGGACACAGGCCAATAATAATTTTTATTTCAAATTAAATCTTTCTTAAATATTCACTTAAATGCTCTGGCCCATTAAACTCGGTGGCCTCCTTGCACGTGTCCAGCATGTTTAGTTGTTTAATCGGCACTGAATATAAATAAAATATATATAACAATGTTATATTTAAATATATATATATATATATATATATATATATATATATATATATATATATATATATATATATATATATATATATATAACAAATATATTTTTTTTTCTTTTTTTCTTTTACTAACAACTCACATAACTGGATACATATTTTAAAACCTGTAAACTTTCATTATGATTTTAATAACTAATTATAAATTAAAAATATCAAAAATTAAAAAGTTTAAAAAAAAGTAAAATATTTAACTTTATGTTTTTGTATAATTTAGGTTTTGGTAATTTTTTTTAATTTATATTTACAATTTATAAAACTACTTTAATACATCTTTAGGTCATTATTCTGACTACTACCACCCTCATATTTGTTGTAGAGGAATGACAGAGAGGTAATCAAAATGATTATTCTTGTTTTTATTTATTTTGTCTTAAAGCTATTGAAAACTAGACATTAAAAAAGAAAATTAAATATACCCATTTTGATATTATTCCTGCTTCATAAAAAACTGAAAATTGTCTTCTAGTCTTCTCTTCATCTGTAATTTTTGAGCAATAAGAGGTATAATCAACTTTTCCAAAAGTTCCATTTATACACAAAACAGGTATTACACCTGAAAAAAACTAGAATTAATAAGAGTCAATAAACCAAATAAAAAATTGTTACACCTAAAAAAACAGTTCTTACAAAAAAAAAAGTGAAGTTACATTTGATTTTCTCCAGAAGCCTCTGGAGCCTAATTGTTTTAAATGCAATAAGAGATTTTTTGACCTGAGAATAGTAGGATTTGACCTGAGACAAAACTTTTTTACAATGGTTTCAATCAATAATAAACAGTATCTCTCTTTTTAAATTTCCATTGAACTTATCATTACTAAAATTCATTCAAACGTAAAGTCGACAGGAAATCTGTCGACTTGAGTGTCGACTTGACGATTATATATATATATATATATATATATGTTCTGTTCTTTTAAGAACATTGAGCACTCTTTTTGTAGAATCTATTTTAAATTGTTTAAATATATATATATATATATATATATATATATATATATATATATATATATATATATATATATATATATATATATATATATATATATATATATATATATACATATATATATATATATATATATATATATATATATATATATATATATATATATATATATATATATATATATACATATAATATATATATATATATATATATATATATATATATATATATATATATATATATATATATATATATATATATATATATATTATATATATATACATATATATATATATATATATATATATATATATATATATATATATATATATATATATATATATATATATATATATATATATATATATATATATTTCAACAATTTAAAATAGATCATACAAAAAGAGTGCTCAATGTTCTTAAAAAAACAGAGCAATTACAAACTAGTAGAAAATTACTGAGCAAAATTTTTCTCATTTAACACTGTGTTTCATCAATAAAGACTCATCAGAAAATGATAAAAATGATCGTTTTCTGATGAATCTTTATTGATGAAATACAGTGTTAAATGAGAAAAAATTTTGCTAAGTCAATTTCTACTAATTTATATATAAATTATATATATATATATATATATATATATATATATATATATATATATATATATATATATATATATATATAAACAATTTTAAAAAATTTATTCTACAAAATAGAGTGTTTAATGTTCTTAAAAAAACAGAGCAATTATAAATTAGTAGAAAATCTCTTAGCAAATTTTTTTTTCATTTTACACTGTGTTTCATTAACAAAGACTCATCAGAAATGAATGTTTAAACTAATAAAACCTCAATTTATACCAAAAAAATAAATTACAGGAAGTCGCAAATGTTTTAACAACTGTAAATTTTCACATATTTGTGGAATTTTCTGACACTATTATAAAAAGAATTCTTTAGAAATGATTACTTATGCTTTTTTTTTTATAAAAATATTTTTTAAAAACTTATAAAAGATTTAATATAACTTTTTATTTGAGCTCACTTATTTTTATAGTTTTTTAGGAGAAACTCATTTTCGTGCTGCATTTAGAAACCAATTCTGATTTTTTGTTTAACAAACAGTCTTGGTTTACATGTGTAATTATTTGAAAATTTTCTTGTAGACATAGTATGCATTTTTTGGAAATATTGTTGTATGCAGGCGCTGTTTTAAGGATAGGCCAGTTCAGTATAAAATCATAAATACTTTTACCTTTTAGTTTCCATATATACTTTGACAGCATGGTGTCTTTTGAATACTTTTTATTTTTAATTTAGATATAAGTATATAAAATTTCAATTCCAAGGTTCAATTCTGGGTCCTCTTTTATTTCTTATTTATGTAAACGATTTTCATAAGTTTTCAAACATTTTAAACTCTGTTTTATTTGCAGATGACACGAATTTATTTTACTCTAATGGAGATATTAAACTTTTATTTAAAATAGTAAACAAAGAACTTTTAAATCTAGCGGAATGGTTCAAGGCGAACAAATTGTCTTTAAATTTAAATAAAACTAAGTATACTTTTTTTTATAGAGTTCACGATAAAGAAAACATTCTACTAAAACTTCCTAATCTTTTTATTGGCAACTCTAAAATAATTAGAGAGTCATCAATAAAATTTTTAGGAGTGATACTTGATGAAAACTTAACATGGAGAGAACACATAAGTACAATAGAAAATAAAGTTTCAAAAAATATTGGTATATTATTCAAAGCCAAGCAGTTTTTAAACCAAAACTGCCTAAAAATTTTATATTTCTCTCTCATACATTGTTATATAAACTATGCAAACATTGCCTGGTGCAGCTCTAATATAAGTAAAATTAAATAACTGCTTATTAAACAAAAAGATGTTGTCAGAATTATTTCAAATGCAGGTCGATTCACACATACTAAAGAACTATTTAATAATCTTCACATACTCAATGTTTTTAAGTTAAACCTTTATCAAGTTCTTATTTTTATGTACAAACTTCATAATAAAATATCACCTATAATATTTAGTACTCTTTTCAATAAAATTAATCACATGTACCCTACAAGATTTTCTAAGTACAATTATGAGCAACCTAAAATGCATTATTTAGCTACCAAATTTTCTATTGCTATAAGAGGTCCTAAATTATGGAACGCTTTATTAAGTGATAAGCTGAAAAATTGTTCTTCTCTTTACCTATTCAAAAAAAAATTGAAACAAAAACTTATTAACGATGTTAATGAATTAAATTCTTTTTAAAAATTTTTTATTTTTTCTTTATTTTTAACAATTATCTTATTAACTCTATAAACTATCCTATTAGCTTATCTATAGTTTTGATTTTTTTTTATTTTTTTTTTTAATTTCTTTTTACTATTTTCTTTTGATTATACATTAGTAACTAGTCTTAACATACTTGTAAATAATTGTATATAATTTTTTTAAATGGCACAAAGTAATTGTATATTTAACTTTTAATGGTTGTACACGCTTGCTTATGAAAGCACGTCGGGGTGTAGTGATAAGGCAAGTATTGTCTTCTTTTAACCCCGGTTATGTTGATCTTATTTATTTTACACGACATTGTATTCTTTTTTTTTACTGACGAAATAAATAAATAAAAAAAAAAAAAAAAAAAATATATATATAAAGTTTGATTAAAAAAATATTTAAATTTATAAAATTGAAGTTAATGCTTTATTTTAACACAACTGTCAAATTTATTTAAAAAATATTACTAAATGTTGTTTAATATTTAAATTTTATTTAATCTTAAAAAAAAATTTAGATCATTTTTATCGTGATAGTTGGTTTTCTTTCTTAAACATTTTTTTTTACTCAAAATTAAATAATAAATAAACCTGTTCCAACGCTTACCGAGAATTTTTACAAAATGTAAGTTAAACTTACTTTTATAACGCAAGTAAAGTGAAACAATTATTTTTTGATAATGATATATAAAACGATATAATTTTAACAAATGGTGTTTGGAAAAATATTATTTGCTTTCAAAACAAATTCGCTAATAAAGTAATAAACTTTTAATAAATAAAGCAAATAAATTAACTTAACTTTTTTATTTGTTACACGCTAATTTTTTTTCAATAAAAAATCTTTTCGAGTTGCAAATTTTTAAAATGGCTATTTGAGAAACAATCATTTAAAATTTTTTTTACATATTTTAATTCATTTATACAAATGTTGAAAAAAAAAGTATTTTGTATGAAATTTTTTTTTTAATGTAATAATAAATTTAATTATTTTAATATATATAAAAAAAGGAAGAAATAAACATTTCGCAATATTATTAATAAAAAAGAGTTGAACATTATAACATAGTTGAATATTATAACATTATAACAACATAAAGCCGACGTTAAAGACAACAGCCTAAGTTTAGTATAAAATATTATAACTTTAACATTTTGTCCAAATTAAAAATATTTAATCAATTAACGTTAAAAAATGGAAAAGAAAGAAGATTTGGAAACTTTAATAAGTAGAGTATTAAAAATACAAGCTGATATTTTAACGAAGAATAAAGAAATTACTTAACTCAAAATATTAGTGAATGATCTAGAGAACCAACCGAGCCACGTACTAAATTCATATGATTGTGTATGGTCTGATGTAGTAAAAGGTAAAAAGAGAAACAAAACAGCTCAACTGAATTTAGTCAATGTTGTTGTTAACAAGACAAAAAAATTTAATAATCTTTGGATTCAATACCTCTAAAAACAAAAATGATGATGTAGCCAGAGAAGAAGATACATTAGGAATACAAAATATATTTAATCAGATTAATGCTTAAGCAACTACCCAACATGTTTTTAAACGAAGTACAAAGTCAGACAAGCCACCAACAGTAACTGTTGTTTTAACCAACAAAGAAAAAAGAAGTGCTGTACTAAAAATAGCCAAAACCCTACGAAATTTACCAGAATCTTATAACATATTTATTAATGCAGACTTGACAGTGGCTGAAAAACTTAAAATGAAAGCTTTAAGAGAAGAACGTGCTAATTTAAATAAAACTAATAAAGATTCACAATACTATTACATAATTAAAATGAAAGATTTATAAAACTCATAAAAAGATAGCAATTCATTTCAAGTCAACCAGATCAGCTGCTACTTCAAAAAAATCTACTCTTTCAAAACATGAACAAGTTTATTAAAAAGAACAATGACAGGTAACTAATAAATTTAAAAAACCAAAAGCTGTTAAACTATCCAAAAAACTATTACTCTGGGAAATGGACACTTACTAACATTGGCAGTCTAGGTAATAAAATTGCTAATTTCCAATACTTTGTCCATTTACAGTCTTGATATTTGTTGTGTTATCGAAACTTGGTTAAATAAAAATTTACCGGACAGTCTCTTATGTCCTAGGTTCTACACTGTTCTTTGCTGTGACAGAAGTAGTAAAGGTGTGGAATAGCAATTTTTTTTCGCAGTTTTATACAATTTACAAAAGTTGACATACAACCAGAGTTTCATGAATTGGAAATTGCATCTGCTGATTCAAACCTTAATGGTCAGTCGTTTAGAATTATTGCTTTTTATCGCAGAAGGATTTC